CTTGGCATACTCTCTCTTGCAGATGCAATGTTCCAGTCCCATTCTATGTCTTTATAACTTTTCTTGTTTATGTGTGTTGTATTTTGACTCTCTTTTTGTTTTAATACCTTTTTCTTTTTTAAAAATATAAGTATGTGTCCAGGGTGGGCAAGGGACAGGATACAGGTGCCTGCAGAGGCCAGAGGTATGGTATCTCTCCTGGACCTGGAGTTCCAGGCATTTGCAAGCTTTCTGACATGATGTAAAGAATTGAATCTGGGTCCTCTACAAGAGCATTATATTTTCTTAAGACAACACATCATCGCTCAAGCCCTTGTGCCTTCTCATTTCATGAAAACTTTAGTCAAAGGAATAGAAGCCACCTAATGTTGTATAATATCACTTACGTTAGGTTGCATTTGCAAAGACCAGACAGGGCCTGGGATGAAAACTTCAAGATAACCAATGCATAACAGCCACTGAAGTAAAGGACTCCATCTCCTAGTAAATTGTCTCCATCACAATTTTAAATATGTTGCCTGATTCTTTGTATATATCTTTCACAATTTTGATCCTTTTTATTTTTGGAACAATGGTGTTCTGCTTATTTTACAGTATCCAAAAAAATCTACCTAGAGTGCATATATGTAATATATATATTTACCTTCCATTACTATTAATAAATGCTTTATAGAGATTTATTTGATGGATGGATGGATGGATGGAGCAATATTAATATTAAACTATACAGATATAATTTAAAAATTCTTGATTATTCCAAACAATTCCTTGAGGTAAAACTGTAGTTACATATTAGTAAAAGGATTGCCATCTGCTTAAATGACTGGAATACTAAATGACTGGATATTTATTTCACTTTCTTTGTATCCATTTGGATACTCACTGGTGAAAGAGAGTTTTATGTCTTATGTTGCAGTGTTCCTAACCCTCCCCCATTTCTGTTGTTTCTCATTGAGTTATTATGTATGACTTTATTTATCTTAATTAAATTACTTTTGTCACTCAGTTAATACTAATACACTTTGATTTGATTTCTCCAGCTATAAAAATGCCTGATTTATTTCATGCCATTATTTTCTGTTCTTCAATTTAAGTGAGTGTGTGTGTGCACTCGTGCTTGTAAACATTCAATAAATGCATTTTGGTTGTGGTTATCTTGCATTACATTTCTTTACTAATAGGTCATTCCATTTTCCCTTTAATTTGATATGGAAATAAGTAGGGAAAGAAGAAATAAATTGTAGTGTAACCCATGCTTTACAAATGAAAGCTATTTCCACGGTCTTAAAACTGTACATTATCTCTGCTTGACTTCAGAATGCTTTGAAAGTGCAATTAAGAGAAAGTTCCATTGGGGAAAATCACTGAAGGCAAAAAACAAAGATAGGAATAACACAGTTCACATTGAAAGAGTTCTTAGCTTCTTTTTATCAATATGCTAATATTTTCCATTTTCTGAGTCTTTTCTTGACAGATAGTCAAGCATTTGTTACCAAACCGACCATTATATCAAAACTTCTTCCTGAAAACAATATTTTTACAGAAAAATATTTGAAATAACTAAAATGATTATTTTCTATAAAGAGGGAAAAGAGTGTTGCTTGTGGAAGAAACATTTCTCATCTTATAGTCACATTTCCATCCATTGTTTCCTATGTGAGGGACTCCCAAGCACATTTTTTTCCATCATTAGAAGATGACATTTATAGGAAACCAACAGATAGACCCAGATGTTAGTAAACCAGAGGGAAGAACAGCACTAAGATGTCTGAACCCATCGAGGACAGACACCATTTTGTCAGCTCTCTTCTGGACTATTCATGTTTAATTACAGTAGTGGCACTTGACATTATAAAATGTTCCTTTATTTTAACTATAACCTTTTATGATCATTAGTAAATGTCAAATGTAATGAAGTATTTTCCTGCCTTCATCTTCCCAGGAAAATAGTAAGGAAATGGTATTAAGCTTGCAATCTTGAAATTGTTTTCAATACCAAAGCCAGCAGGGAGGCAGTGTGGTATGAGAGCATTAGACTAGGTTTAATGTTTATACTGTTCTCATTTTGGGAGGAATTTTCCTATCTGTGCTTCTGCCTATATTTGTCTTCTTTGGTACAATTTCTCGTTTTAACTGAGTGCTTTAGTGACAAATGCTTCCAATTGGATTGTGTTTCTGGGTTCAGTCAGAATGATGTTGGAGATCTGGCCCATTGCTGTGACTTGACTTCGATCCAAAAGCCTCTTCTTCTTCTTCTTCTTCTTCTTCTTCTTCTTCTTCTTCTTCTTCTTCTTCTTCTTCTTCTTCTTCTTCTTCTTCTTCTCCTCATTTATTTCTCTGTCTATCCCTCCCCTGAACTTTGATGTGTAATGGTTACTCAACCCTGTGGTTTCCAGAAGCTTCCTGTAACATTTCAATTACTATATAATGGAATCATGATTTTTGCTATCTCAACAATTTTTTAAATGCCACAGTGTAAAACTGATGTATTCTATGACAATACAGTAAATATCTTTACCATAACAATAAAATTAACATCCTATGAGAAGGGAACTCTATCACCAAAAAAGGTCAGAGAGATAAAGCCTCAGTTTCCTAAGACATTTACCAGCAGGCTGTGTTGAAAACAGGCTTGGCAGGGGTCTGGCCACCTTTCTCAGTGTCTCCAGTATGTTTTCAGTTTTCCTCTCTGACAAAATGAGAGAAAAACTGTTCAATGCAGAGACTAGAGGGGGCATGACATCAACAGCCTATGACCCTGGTATTCAGTCTATGCCAAGAAAGAAAAGGAAGCTGTTCAAAGCTACCTGACAATGGGTAGGCTTGGGATATGCTGCATTCATACATAATACATAATATATTCTGAACAATATGAAGTCAGGAAGAAGGCAGGGAAGGTTTTAAATAATCTAATATGACTAGTAATGAGGTGTTCTGCTCCCCAGAGAGACATAGCATCCTACCACGTCTTTGACTATCCCATGGTCTTTTAAGAATGCTCTTCGGGCATTTGGCACAAGCATTTTTTGTGTGTTCTCTTCTTAGTTTTCTTAGTTTCATGGTTACATATACTGTTAACTAAATTAAGTTGATGACTTCCTGGGAACACTCTGCCCAGCTAGTTTCTATATTTGTTCCAATTATATGCAGTTGATATCCCAGGCATCTACATTTTCATAATATTTATAAAACAATAAACAAATTACAATAAAATATTCAAGTAATTGCCAAGAAGCCCTTATTATATTAGAATGCCACTAGGAAGCTTTTATTACTATTATTATGGTTAGGATATGACTTCTTATTAATTAGTCATTTACAGTTGGAATATACAGTTTTCCTAATGATCTTAATACTACTTTACCTATTAAAGATATCAATCATTTTCTCTGGCATAATACAAACATACTTTCTATTATACTTTCATGTTCTGTTATTTTCTGCTGCTGGAAGTACATTCTAAAAGCTTCCTTACAAGCTTTCCTTAATTGCTGTGCATTTGAACACTAATCTGTTTTATCCAAACTTAAATTCTCATTTTCTCTGATAAGACCTTCTCCAGAGAAACATGTGTTCTTGTTGGCTTTTAGAAGTCACACTCTTGGCTAAGTCGGTTCTAGTGCCACTTAGACTCATTCACCTAGCCCGGCCTCCTCTGATCACACTCCTCTGAAGCTGTAGTGGCAAACAAACATGGCAAACAAGGTGTTGAAGAACTGTGAGCAATATGTTCCTCTCTGCTGCATTGCTGGATGTCAGGATCCAATTGGGATGGTGTCTAAGGGTGGAATTCAAGATCTAACATGGACTCCATGGAATCTCTATGTGATTTTGATGGCACGGGAAACTGTTTTTGCATCACCCAACAAGTTATCTCTCCCTCTGAGGCCCACTAGGTCTTAGAAGGATATGGGGTGCACTCTGATTATAGTCGTCATAGGCATGAGTGTGGAAGAGGGTCCATGCTAAGTGAGAAAGAAGGTAACTTTTGTTCAAAGTATGAGGTTCCTACAGAGTTTATGAAGAGAGAAGCTAAGTATCATCTGCAAAAGGCATGGGAAAGAGTAAAGTCAATTATAAATGATATTGGCAATCCTGAGAGAACAGAGGAGGAGCCATAGTGTGAGCCAAGGAACCATTCTTCCTGTACAGTGTCTGTGATGGGTAGAAGATTTCTTTAGAGGATTTGCCAGTCTCAGAGTCCTGATTTCACTGCCACATGTCCTGACTTTTGCAGACATTACTCCCTTCATCTGTAAGTTGATGTCTATCTACAGTCTTAAGTTAGCCCTGATGTCACAGGAATGAAACCTTCCTTGTCCATGTCATTTATTAACCACTCTTTGTCCTGTGCTGTTTGAGAATCCCTGGAGCCCCAATACACTTGCTTATCTTTAGAATGGTTTGATTTACAAAGGTTCAGATACTTGTCCCTGACCCTCAACCATGTGGTAGAGGAGCAGGAACTCAAGCTCACATTTGTTCATCCAACTCAGACATTAAAGAAAGTGCTTTATTGTCATCTCACAGATGATTAAGCTGACATTGGACTGTAACCTCTTTAAAAGTAGGAATGTGTTCCTTTTGTTCTCACACCAGCTGTTATTCATGGACAGACAATTTATAAAGGCATTGTATTGGAGCCAACGTATCCCTCTAGCTTTAAACTATTTAAGAGTCACCAATTTCAGATTGATGTAATCTTTTCTTTTCTATAATTGTATGCTGGTTGGTGGGGAGTAAACGTTGATATTCATACAAAAAAAGAAGAAAAAAGGAAGAAAAGAAGGGAGGGACAAAGGGAGGGACTGGGGGAATGGAGGAATTTCTTAGAGTACAGCAGAACTGTCTTGTGAGTATGGATAGGAAAAGTAAAACTAAGGGGGAAAAAAACCACACACCATTTTAGGTGCTATTGTGACTACTCTGAAAATTACTAATCACTTTCGCAAATTGTCTTGCTTTGATTATGAGACAGTATCATTGTTTTTTTTTATTAGGACACAGCAGGCCAGGAGAGATACAGGACCATCACTACAGCCTATTATCGAGGGGCCATGGGCTTCATTTTAATGTATGACATCACAAATGAAGAATCCTTCAATGCTGTACAAGATTGGTAAGTTGCTGCCATTATAAATGGTGATAGTTTTCCATTTGACAACCTATTCCTTCCACAGCAGTGATCATGGGGCAATGTTCTATGTATGATTATCACAAACTGCAACCCCACTTGTGTCCTGAGGCAAAGGACAATGGTCGGTCATGTTCACAACCATTGTCAGAAGTTTAGCAAGAAGTCATTTGGGTGAATCTTCTTTATTTTGTTCCCTTCAGTGTTTTGCATTCCACTAGTCTTCCTTCTATAGATTTGAGTATGTTACTACAATGTAAATAATGATTTGGAAGTTTATTTATCTAATGTAGGGATCTAGAAAATAACACTGGTGGGCTTTGGCCCACAACGTGTTCTTTAAATAAAACTTTATTGGAACATAGCCAGGCTGATTTGTTTATTATCTGTTATGCTTTCACACCACAAAAGACAAGGTAAGTAGCTACAGCATGATCCATGTGGCCCACAGAGCACAAAACATTTCTCTCTGGACATTTGGAAGAAACCTTTGCTTATTCCTTCCTAGTAGATTGATTAAATAGATTATTCAAACTAGAGCATTTGAAAGGACTTAGGACAAAAGCAGGGTCGCACCAAGACCCTTTGTGACTCATAGCTCTACCAGATACTGTGAAAATACTTGTGTCCACAATGAGTGTGGCATGTAGTGGGGGGCTTTCTGTTGTGAGATCTTTTCCTAGATTCCCAGAATAGTAACAATCCAGAACATGGTCATGAATCCCAGTACAGGGCTGAAAAGAGTGGGAATTTTGTGGGAAGTTCCATAATGCAGTTCCTAGTATCCAGGGATGGCTGAGCAGATACCACATTTAAATGCTAAAGAGTCACAGCTTAGCTCCTATAAGAAGAATCAGACAAGCAGTACATTGGCAAAACAAACAGGATTTATTTTTTATTTCCTATGCTACTATTATCCACTGATTCTATATGTGTATTGGGATCTGATGTTGCTAGAAACTTGAATTTGCTCTAGGTTGTTTCTTGAAAATCCTTATCATTCTTCTCGAGGACATCTACTTCTGTCACAGACACACCTCCACACACACATATGTACCCACATATACACACATGTACATGTATACACACCTATAAGTACACACATGCACAGCTACATATGTACATATATACACATTTGTATACACTTATACATACACACATATGCATGTACACACATTCTTTTATATATTTTTATAATGATAACTATTTTTATTTATTTAAATTAGAAACAAGCTTGCTTCACATGTCAATCCCAACTCTCTCTCCCTCCCCTCCTTCCCTGCCCTCCCAACCCCCCCAATAGCCATCCAATCCCCAATCCCCTCCCCAGGGAGGGTGAGGCCCTCCATGAGGGAGCTCCAAAGGCTGTCATATCATTCGGGGCAGGGCCTAGGCCATCCCCCATGTGTCCAGGCGGAGAGACAAGCCCTCCACGTGGAATGGGCTCCCAAAGCCTATTCCTATGCCAGGGATAAATACTGATCTACCACCCAAGGCCCCATAGATTACCAAGGCCTCCTCACTGACAGCCAAATTTAGGGGATCTGGATCAGTCCCATGCTACCCCTCAGCCATCAGTCTGGGGTCCATGAGCTCCCTCTTGTTCAGGTCAGCTCTTTCTGTGGGTTTTACAAACCTAGTCTTGATCCCTTTGCTCATCACTTCTCCCTCTCTGCAACTGGGTTCCAGGAGTTCAGTTTAGTGTTTAGCTATGGGTGTCTGCTTCTGCTTTCATCAGTCACTGGATGAAGGCTCTAGGATGGCATATAAGGTAGTCGTCAATCTCATTATTGAGGAAGGGTATTTAAGGCAGCCTCTCTACTATTGCTTAGATTGCCAGTTGGTATCATCCGCAGGGGCGAGTCGACCTGACTCCACATTCTTATACACATACATGTATGCACAGACACACACACTTCCTATACATTAAGTTATACCATTAGTAGCAGCTACTCAATAGAGAAGAGTTATAAATTGTTAAAAGTCGACTTTAGGACCTATATGAAAAGCAATTATCTTCTACTGAGTGACATAGAAGAAGGCTTGTATTATCTCTCTGCAGTACATTGACTATTTCAAAAATGAAAGTTCTCAAGTTAACCCATAATTTTCAGGTAGGTCCAATTAAATACCAACAAGGCTATCACTAAATGGAATGGGATAGAAAGTCCAGAGACAGATACATCTGTATGAAGATTTCTGATAAAAAAACAACATTGATACCTATGTCCCCAGAGGACCATTCAGTAAACAATTATATGTATGACATCTGGCTAATTGCCATTCCTAGCTGCAGTCATTTCTATGTTGACTGCTCTGCTAGAAATACTGAGACCTGTGCAAGGATACAGAAAGCATTCTCACTGAAGTTTTCATACATCAGCATTCTGATGATGTCTGTGCACAGTTCCTCTTTCCTATTGTTTCAATATGAGTTATTTCACCACCAAGAGAAAGTACAGTGATACACTGGGCTTATTAAAAAGAAAGCCAATCACATCAGGAGCCACACAGGCAACATTGCCAGCTCTACTATCAAGTTGATACAGGAAAGATCAACATCTGCCTCTCTGGGCATCTCCTTTGCAGTCCAGTGAGTTAGACGTCACAACACTAATGTTTATACTTCCTCATGTGTCAGCAAACTCACATTATCTCAGTCTGCCTCTACCTCTAGACAATTCTAGTGCCCTGCCCCTATCCTTCTGAGGCTTCATTCCTGTTTCTTTTTTTCCCTTTCTTTTTTTTTATTATTTATTTTTAACTTTAAATTTAGATTAGAAACAAGGTTGCTTCACAAGTCAGTTCCAGGTCCCTCCCCTCCTCCCGTGCCCTCCCCCCACCCCACCCCCAATATCCCCTCATTTCCCCAGGGAGGGTGAGGCCCTCCATGGGCATGTCCATAGTCTGTCATTTCATCCAGGACAGGGCCTAGACCCTCCCCCAAGAGTTCAGGGTGAGAGTGCATCTCACATTGTTAGATGGGAGTCCAAAGTCCATGTGTATACTCAGGATGAATACTGATCTACTGCCCAAGGCTCAAAAGATTACCTAGGCCTCCTCACTGACACCCCCAGTCAGGGGGTCTTGATTAGTCCCATGCTGGATTCCCAGGCATCAGCCTGGGATTCAAGAGTTAACCCTTGTCAGGTCAGCTGTTTATGGGGGTTAAACCAGCCCAGTCTTAATCCCTTTGGTCATCAGTCCTCCCTCTCTGTTACTGGCTTTCTTGAGTTCAGTTCAGTACTTAACCTAGGGAGTCTGCCTCTTCTTCCATCAGCCACTTAATGAAGTTTCTGTTTCCCAGACACTCTGGCCATGGGATTGTAGGCTGGCACTCCCCAGATCTATGTCTAAAATCCATATATGAGAGAGTACATGCCATGTTTCTCTTTTTGTGACTGGGTTACCTCACTCAGGATGGTTTCTTCTAGTGTCATCCATTTGCCTGCAAATCTCAGGATTCCATTGGTTTTTTCTGCTGAATAGTACTCCATTGTGTAAATGTACCACATTTTCTCTATCCACTCTTCAGTTGAGGGGCATCTAGGTTGCTTCCAAGTTCTGGCTATTACAAATAATGCTGCTATGAACATAGTGGAACAGACATCCTTGTTGTATGAATGGGCATCTTTTGGATATATGCCTAAGAGTGGAGTTGCTGGGTCTTGTGGTAGGTTTAATCCCATTTTTCTGAGGAATATCCATACTGATTTCCAAAGTGGATGAACAAGTTGGCACTCCCACCAGCAATGGAGGAGTGTTCATTCCTGTTTCTTAAAGACACACTTTCCAAATCACTCTTCTTTCTCTGATCCCTCTTCCTACTCCTCACAGGCACCAGTGATATTTTTCTGTGCCCTGTCCTTGGTCATTTTATTCACTTCCCTAATTTCCTTCATCACTTAAATGTCTGGCCGTGGTTTGTAAACTGCTATTGCATTTCCAAGTATTCAGAATATCTATTCTACCTGGATCCTTTCCTAGTGCTTTAAAGTCATTTATCTTCACCTGAGTCTGCTCACCTTCCTGACATAATCCCTGACTTTCACTATGTGAATCTGGGCGAGCTTGCACATGTTCACGTATTTAACATAGGAATCCTATGGCACGTCTCCCACCTTTCCCTTCCTTCTTTGGCCATTGTCGTTTAGCTTCTTCTTGTTGTATTCTGCTCATACCTTCATTGGAAACTTCAAATTTTCTTGACCTAAATTTCTTTCTTTCTCAATCCATCCTACCCCTTTGGTGCTTTTAGGTTCTTCCAAGAGAACATGATTTTGATGTTTCTGAAGCACCCCTGTCCAAAAACTATGGCTTGCTGTTACCTCCTGAGTTGGAACTTTCCCAGCTTGGCTTCAGGCACAACACCTCATGATGATGCTGTACCCTGTAACATTATCTTTCTGTATTGCAGAGAAAAATAGAAACTGCTCTTTCTGAAACTTCCCCCAAACATTCCAAAAGTTCAGCATTTTCTGTTGGGTCTCTTTTTGATTTGCATATATTTTTCTATAGCTCCCTGTTCATCATCTGCAGGCAACTAGATTTTTCCAAAATGAAGAATAAGGAAGCCCATCCTGGAAAACCATTACTATTTACTCATTTTTCTTAAACCTACAGTTACATAGCTACTCATTTATTGGGAATTTAAATTTTTAGTATTCATTCAGCCAGCAATTACTGAGTGTCTATCCTGATAGGTGAAGGCCAGACATGCCTATGCCAACATTTGCTATCTTAGTAGATCTGCCATAAACCAGTTATATGACATAGGTCTAACATCTTGGTCTTTTGATTATCATAGCACAAGATCCAATAACTCTGCCTTCCTGAGTTCTTGTCAAATGCATTCCTCTCCTTTCTCTCTATTCTCATTGACTTAATTCACACTGCCATTTAGGGACTTTCGATCTTGTCTCCATCTATCTTGTTATGAAATACTTTCAGTAATTTTCTCAAACCTTGTGGTAATTATTATGGAA